TTTTTTTGCACCCTCAGATTCCAGATTTTCAAATAGTTGTATTTCGGTCAAATATTGTCCTATCCTAACATACATCAATGGAAAGCTTATTTATGCAGCTTTCAGATGATGTATAAATCTCAATTTTGAAAAATTGACCCTTATGACTGGTTTTGTGGACCAGGGTCACATTTGTTGTTGATTTTTTTTTTAGCAAGATCTGGCAACACTAATGAGTCAAAACATACCCTGTGATTTCTTGCACTGCACATACAGAAAAGATACAACTGTGATACAGGTTTATACGTCATTAACAACAGGTTGTGCAGTTTGGTTCTGTACACACTGCATGGTAGTTGTCAACCTGAATTTTTTTTAAAGTGATGTGTAGCCAAGTATGGTGTCCCATACTCAGAATTTGTGCTCTGCATTTAACCCATCCAAGTGCGCACACACACAGTAGTGAGTAGTGAACACACACACAGGGAACACACACCCAGAGCAGTGCACAGCCATTTTTGCTGCGGTGCCTAGGGAGCAGTTGGGGGTTCGGTGCCTTGCTCAAGGGTCTCACCTCAGTTGTGGTATTGAAGGTGGAAGAGAGTGCTGGTTATTCACTCCCCCCTGAGTACTGAGACTCAAACCCACGACCTTTGAGTTACAAGTTCGACTCTCTAACCATTAGGCCACAACTTGTGAGTCAATTAGGTTGTAGATTGCAGTTGTCACTCCCGTAAATTAATGAACTGTGTGTGTTCAGAACAGGATTAAGCACTAAAAGCTGAATTGACAACCAAATTTAACTGCAGTTTGTATGTGGTCATACTATAGGCAACATTATAGCCCATGGAACAAGTATGACCATTTATTTTAACATTATATTTACACATTTCCTCCTAAATTTCCAATGTGTTGTGAAAAAATATCATTCTCATTACTAGCAAATAGTATAAATAAAATACTGTGAATACAATACAATGAATATTGATGTACACTAATATAAATATTGTTGTTGTTTTCCACATTACAGAAACAAGAATGAGCCAGAGGGGTTTAAATGTGACTAATTGTTAGGAAAATACAAATGCAAAAAAACGTGTATGTGAGCCTGTCTTCTAACAGGCTCACTCACACACACACACACACATATTATTTAAACACATTATTAACACATTATTTAAATTACACCACTTAATTTTGTTTCTTAATTTAGTTTTTTTTTTTTTTTTTGGGGTGAAGTGCAATTTTTTGAGAGACATTTCTTGAGAGTTTTCGTGAGATTAATCTAAGTCCGATTAAAATGTCCACTAAATTAATAAATGTAATATGAAAGTACATTACATAAATATGTTAATAAATTATATTCACGCTCACTGCTTTTAATGTCAGCTCTGCTCCAGTTATCATAACATGGCCATATTAGGGCGGGTACAAAACGCAATTCAGTGCGTGTCGAACAGCACACACACACACAAATGTGTTGTGGAAAGTTATAGGATTCCCTCTGGTGCATTCTGAACGAGATTGAAATTAAGAATCATGAGGCAGAAATATTTTATAAACATTCACCAATCAATAAAGAACAAATATCCATCCATCATACTGTGAACAGAAAAGCAGAAATAAGTTCTGGAACACAGCAGATCAAAATTGAGCATTATGAAAATATTTGAAATGCATGCTGATCCTGATAGATGAGCTATGGCAAAGGGATTGCTTTGCTTTATTTAATCAACATAGAGGCTTTATCATTTTTCATCTGCATATATCAAGAACTCTGGCTTGATATACAACCATACACAATAACTAGTGAAGGCTGCATATGGCACTGGAATAGCAATTAATGCAATTAAAGAAAGCCATTTTCCTCATGGATGCACACGTGTACGTGTGTGCCATTAGCATTCTGTAAAACAGGGATCATCCACAAAAAAATAAAATTCAACAGTTCTCCTTTTGTGTTCCACAGAATTAAAAAAGAAAAGTGTCAAATGGGTTTGTAATATCATGAGGGTGAGTAAATGGTGATGAAATTATTATTTTTGGGTGAAAACGTCTCAGGTTACTTATGTAACCATGGTTCCCTGAGTCGGGAACGAGACACTGCGTCCTCTAGGGGTCGCTATGGGGAACGCTTATCTCTTTACAAGCGACGTCTAAATGAATTGAATTTCAAGGGCACAATACCACTCCATGTCTGATGAGATGAGAAAAATACACACAACGTCCCTTAATATTATTCACAAGGTGAGAATGAATGTTACCCTGCATAACAGGATTCAGCTGAGATTAATCCAAACAGACAGGGATGATGGAGGGACAGAAAAGGAGGACAAAATACCTTATTGGCTTCAGTGAATAGTGTAACACGAGAACGGCACTCTATTAAATGTCTTCATAATGGACAGAAGACTTAGAGAGACAGAGACACGCTTGCTAAGGTAATTCATTATTCAAGTGCTAAGGCTGCCTGTACCTCCAGCCATTTTTTGGGCACGAGCGCTAAACCGGAGACAACAAGCTACAGCTCTGAGAAAAGGTCAAGTAGGCAACC